TTCAATTAATTGAATTGTCTAGAAATTATTTTCTTGAGAATTGTAAATTATTGTGTTTGATTGGTATAATTTTTCATGTGAAAAATGTTAAAATAAAAAATATTTTTTGATATTCGTTTGGCTTTATTTTATATAAAAATTGTCAATTAAAGAGATAAAATTTACTGATATTGGGGATAAAATTTATTTTCATTGCCAAAAAAAATTAAGAAAATCATTTATCTTTTGGTGTTCGTTTGATTTTATTTTTTATGAATATTATCAATTAAAGGAAAATATGTTTGTACAATAATTCTTAAAATTTGTTTCCATTGCCAAGAAAATAAAAGGTCGCTTCATTTTCCTCAATTACATGGAAAATGTCTAGTTGACACCCAAAGTTGGAAAATAAAATCATGGAAAATAAATTCTATCAAACACTACAAAAGTTGGAAAATGAACTTGATTTTCCAAGTTCCACAGAAAACGTTTGGCTATTAAACATAGCCTTCTTATTTTTAACCCAATTATTTCTATTTTAATTTTCTCGAAACATATCTAAACTTCACATGTTATATTATTCAAATGAAAGTTAAAAGGTTGTAATACTCCTAGCCCCAGTTGGTAGCCATTTTTTTTTAAAATGTATTTTTCTCTCTTCTTTTCAATCACACATTCTTTATTAAAATAATATTACATGGAAATCAAAAACTTTTTCTTATTTTTCAACCACAAATTTCACATCAACTTACTATACTAAAATGTATTTTTATATAAAAATGACTATCAAACACCCCATAATCTATTCAAGATATTCTATTGTAAAAGAATAAGCTTGAATTAGGTCTCCCAAAGAAATTTAAATGTGTCAAATTTGTCTTCTCTTCATTATTTTTTTTTTTTTTTTTTTTTTTTTATCACTCATTAACCTAGATATTTTTCATTTATTTTAAAGATGTGATGTATAGTGTATCAAAAAAATGTATTAGACACTAAAGAACATAAAGTTTGAAATAATGGATCTCAAAGCACTTCTCGAATACTTACCTTGCTTTGAAGCATTGACTCGATTACTTTGCCACTTGTATGCCGTATATACTAGTGATGAACTTATGAAGGCAAAATATTTATGATTCTCTATTTACAAGTTGTTTGAGCCACATTATTTTGATAAGAATATATTTTTGAATAATATATTGATGAAAAATGTGTGATTAAAAAATAAAGAAAATTTTTGGATTTGCGTGTGATATTATTTTATTGAAAAATGTACGTTTGAAATGATGTCAAATTAATGTTTAAAAATAATTTCTTTTTTGAAAGAATGTGGATCATATTATCTATGTCAGTTGAAGATCACAGGAAATAAAGAAACCCAACTGCCCAAAATCACAATCAAAGGGTGTAAAAATCATCATTTCTAAAGAAACTGTTTATTTTGCATGCCAATACAAATCTAGTGACCCTTTTCACCAGGTATCCCATTAGTACCAACAGTATCACTATTAAAAACAGTATTATTTTCACTTTCCAAAAAACAAAAAATAACAATTGTAATGAGAGAGAGAGAGAGCACGCGACAAACACGGGCGGAGTTTTGAGGGAGAATTGGCGGTAGTGGCGTAGAGCATAGATTCACGTGGCTTACTGTCTTTTCCTTTTCCTTTGTAACTTGAAATTTTCTTTTTCTTTTCTTAGTTGTTTGATTAGAAAGAAAGGGAAAGGAAATGAAAATTGAAAGACATCTATCTAATCAAGGGTAAAGTAGAGGGAAAATTAATTTATAGGGAAAGGAAAAATACACATAAAAAAAAAATGCTAAACTCACAAACTTTTTTTATAAAATCATTTACTCACTACG